AAGTGGCTTGGCTTCAGTAGCTACTTACACAAGTATAGCGCGAATTATGCAGAAATTGTACCGCCCTTGTCGAATCTCTTTTCGAAGGATGCGGAATGGTGTTGGGACACCGAGCATAGGAAGGCTTTTGAAGGGGTCTAAGACAACCTCCTTTATGCACCAAAACTGGCGTTGCCAGACCCTGATCGTTCTATTAGTATCGTCTGTGACGCTGCTGTAAGCAGACGCCGAGGACGGAATCGGGTGATCGCGTTCGAATGTCGCCAGCTCACGGCTGCGGAGAAGAACGACCCAGTCCACAACAGAAGAATCGCTTTCAGTGAGGTATGCAGCTGACAAATTTAGGGTTTACCTGCTCGGCTCCCAGCCGATCCTGATCTACACAGATCATGCGTCACTACGCACATCGACTCAGTCACCTCTTGCATTCGATAGCCGAGTGGCTCTCCTTTTTCGCAGGATATAACTTCAAGGTGAAGTATAAGGCAGGAAAGCAGGATGCTTTGGCTGATGCGTTGTCACGTAGACCGGATTATGAGCTTGCTCATGTCTGTAAAGGATGTTATCCGCTCCGCATAAGTGGGTATTGATATATGCGTAACGCCGCTGAGGGCGCTCAGGACCAAGGCGTTTAGAAACTTGGACAAGAAGTTGTTGTCATGACTGCGCGCATATATTCATTTAATAACGGGTTGCTGTATCATAGCACCGACTCGACAGACACGCCAAGAATTGTGGTTCCTCACAGTAAGGATTTGAAATACCGTTTCCTCTATCATGCCCACGACATCCACTTAGTGGTCATCTCGGTGGTGATAAGACCTACCATTCTGTGAGTTGCCACTAATGGTTGACCAAGCTGTACAAATAAACGAGCACCTATGTATGCTCGTGTGAGACGTGTCAAAGAGTGAAATCCTCTCTGAATGCGGCGGCATCGCTGGCCAGTTTGCCAGTACCCTCCGGGTGTTGGCAGTGCATGAGTTTGGACTTTGTGTTTGGCCTGCCGAAGGACTCTTCGGGCAACACGGGTGTGGTGGTCTTTGTCGACCGTTTGAACAAGATGACTCATCTTGCGGCGGTGCCGGACACCATCGACGGTGTCGGTACACCGTAAGCTGTTTGTGGATCATGTCTTTCGATAACATGATTTCCCGAAGTCAATAGTCTCTGACAGAGACCCACGCTTCACTGGTAAGTTTTTGTCGACAGTCTTCAGGTTGCTCGGCACCAAGTTGACTATGTCAACAGCGGACATTCCGCTGACCGATGGTCAAACTGAGCGCGTGTACCGCGTCGTTAGAGACGTCCTTCACAGCATCTACGCTGAGACTCGTGAAGGGGCTGACATCAGCTAGCCGCTCGGCTATTCCTCCACCTCCAAGCCCTGAGCCATAGCATGGCCACGTCAGCGGGACGCGAGGATGAAGGATCCCGTTCACGAAAAACGGTGTGTAGCCAGTAGACGAATGCACTGCATTGTTCAGAGCGAGCTTTACGAAAGGCAGCATGGCGCTCCAGCGCCTCGTGTGCATAAAGAAGTCAGTGACTTTCTGTCTACCAGACTGAGTGTCTTTCAACACGTTCGCGATGCGATGGCTGGAGGCAAATACATGCAGAAAGAATATGTAGACGTAAGATGTAGAGAAAATGTAAAAAAAACTTTGATGTCGGAGACCTGTTTCTATCAAATGATAAAAACCTATGCGATGCTGCTGTCTTTAAGACGAAGCTTTGTCCACGGTTTATCGGACTTTTCAAGGTTGTGGCCAATCATGGCCTTGCCTACATGCTAAACCTTCCACAACGGATACACACCCAGCCGGTGTTTTATGTGAACTTGCTCAAGCCGTCGGCGCAAGTGAGCGCAAAAGCGTTGGCGCCGGGGCGGCGCCCACAGGCGCTCGGCCACCTAAAAGTTGGACCAGCAACTGGTTTTGAGCATGGTGCAACGATTTCCATCTCCAACGGTGCCAGGCACTCCATTGTCACATAGAGTGTTGAATACGTCTGCTCGACGGCTAGGAGCGGCTCTGACAGAGCGAGATAGTCTTCAACGTGCGGCAGTCGGTACACAACGTGCGCAAAGCTTTCAAGACCTCCCACACAGCGGTATGCAACCCCAGCATGACGCTCAGCTAAACTTCGATGGCGACGGACCTTGTCCGCGAGAGCTCGAGGAGCATCGCGAGTCACCGGACAGCGATCGACCCAGTCGTCATTACCCGCCGCCGACTCTTCTCGACGAGAACGGTGGCATCCACTATCACGTGGAACGTCTTCTGGGTCGACGTCGTCAACAATGTGAGCCCAGTTGTGGAAACCCAGACACCAAGAACTTTCAAAATTTTGAAGTGCCACTTAGGCAAGACTGGCCAGACGTCGTGGATGCATATGATCAAAGGGATCATGACTTTCCGCGTCACCATACGCCCCGCGCTTCTCGGCAATAGCCGGGGAAGCCGAAAGGCCATTAGCCGAGCTCAAGCTATGGTCCTGAGCTGCTGTAGTCGTAGACTTACCCGTGTGAGAGATCACAGAGCTTGCGGGAGCGCGATGGATTAATCCATACGTCGCAAGACGACAATACGAAGAAGTCGGCGTTGCACCTTATGTTTGGCGAACTCGAGCCGAAGATGGCGTACCCCGCGCGCGTCCATCTCCCTGTGGCTCAACTGTAAGCTAGACAGCGAGGAAACTTTCTGGAGCCGTTGCACCCATCGCTCAAAGAGCTCTTCATTATCTGCACTGATTTAGCCATGGGCGAGCACAACAGGAATTGTTCGCATTGTGGGTACAGGAGCGCCTCCTCTTTGAGCGCGAAGTCGAATGCGGTACTTATCCATTGGGATTTCTTGAGGTACCAAGAAGCGGGCTCGGAGAGCTTTTCATTGGTCAAGCTCAGGTTGTGTAGTGGCCGGGGGCCCGACCACGTAGACGCACAAGGATCGAGCGATCGCATCTTTTGCTTCAGTAGCGGGATCCACCGAGCGGAAGCCGCATTACACGCGAGGGTCTAGGACCGACCGTGGATCCGCGCGCATTCGCCCTGCGGGCAGCCTCCAGCTGCTCCTGTGCCTCGTCGAAGCGATTGGTAATGATACCACTTTTCCAGGAAGTCGAGTGGTCGGAAAACGGACACGGTGTCCACAAGGTTTGAGCGGGGCTCACGTAGCCCCATTGGCGTATTCGCGATCTACGACATCCTCCGAGTCCTCGACGAGGTAATTCGTCGCCCGCGGTGTGTGGCACTCGGTTGCCGAGGGCTTGGGAGACGCCTTTTTTTGAAACAGCGGACGTGCAGTCCGAAGTTGCAACGCGTGCAAGGGCTCTGCTAGCGGGCGCTCTCGGAAACAGCGACGCGGAGTGGTTTTCGCGTCATTAATACAGGGCTCATTGCGCAGAGAAGGTCTTGGAGACGTAGAGGTGTCTAAGACACACG